ACGCCAGGCTTTGTGGGGAAACCGAAAGCGCTTGGAGATCCCCCACCCTCCTCAGAGAGGTGATAGCAAGGAGAAAGGCCATCTTGAGGCTCAAGTGCTTAGCCTCAGCTGACTTCAGGGGTTTGAAGGGGGCCTCAGCCAACGCCCCAAGAACCACTGCCAGATCCCAAGTGGGAACCTTGGACCGAGTCGCAGGTCTCATCCTCCGGGCACCACGGAGGAAACGTACAACCAAGGGAAGTTTCCCCTAGGACCCCTCCCTCAGAGGGGTGTGGAAAGACGAAATAGCTGCCACGTACACCTTGAGGGTGGAAGGGGAAAGACCAGCAGAGAACCGGTCCTGGAGGAACTCAAGTACCTGAACCACCGGGCAGGTAACAGGGTCCACCGACCGCTCCCTACACCAAGTGGAGAAAACACTCCACTTCAGGCCGTACATCCTCCGTGTGGACGGGGCCCTGGAGCTCAGGAGGGTCTTGACTGCTCCGGCTATTAGACCCGCCTCTAGGTACTGTGCCCCCTCAGGGGCCAGACCCACAGTCGCCATATGGCGGGGCAAGGGTGAAGAACCCGGCCCTGCGCCTGGGACAGCAGGTCTCTCCTCAGAGGGACCCGCCACGGCGGGCCGTCCAGGAGCGACATGATGTCCGAGAACCACACCCGGGTTGGCCAGAACGGGGCTATGAGCAGTAGGCCGACATTGTCCTGGCGGACCCGCTCCAGAACCCCCGGGAGCAGAGCGACTGGGGGAAAAGCGTACAGACGTAGCCTCGGCCACGAATGTACCATGGTGTCCAGACCCAACGGGGCTGGAGGAACAAGAGAAACCATAGCGAGTAGTGCGTAGTCTCTTGAGACGCAAACAGATCCACGCCTATGGGGTCGAACTCTTCGCACAAGAGCTCCACCACTTCGGGGTGAAGTCTCCATTCCCCGGGCCTCAGCCCCTGCCTCGACAGCAGGTCTGCTCCCTGATTCTGCGTCCCCGGGAGATACATCGCCCTGAGCGATAGTAACCTCTGCTGGGACCACAGGAGGATCTGACGCGCCAGTCTGTCCAGAGGGCGCGAGCGCAGACCGCCCTGGTGATTCAGATAGGCCACCACCGCTGTGTTGTTCTCTTCGGAACGAACCAGGACGTGGTGGCCTTGGAGATCGGGCAGGAAACTCCTTAGAGCCTGGAACACCGCCGACATCTCGAGACAGTTGATATGCCACTCGGATTGATGCACCTGCCAGGATCCCCTTGTAAAGCGGCCGTCCATGACCGTGCCCCAGCCCGTGAGGGAGGCATCTGTCGAAATAAGACAGACAAGACCCTCCCAGCATGGGCCCCTGGGACAGGAACCAAGTTTCCTTCCAAACTGATAGGGAACGAAGACACTTGCGCGTAACCCAAATCAGACGGAGAGGATTTCCCCTCGGGGAAAAACCCTTGTTCCTTAGCCACCACTGCAGGGGTCTCATGTGCAGCAGTCCAGATGGTATTACGCTGGATGCAGCCGCCAGGAGACCCAACACTCGTTGAAAGTGTTTCATAGTGATGGCGTGGCCTAACTTCACCCCTTTCACGGCAGCCAATATGGTGTCGACACGTGCCAGAGACGATTGTGCCCGCATCGTTGTCGAATCCCATACAACCCCTAGGAACATAGTCCGATGGGTGGGCGCCAGCACGCTCTTCTTTGAGTTGAGCCTCAGCCCTAAACGCCGCAGATGAGCCAGAACGACATCTCGATGCCGAACCGCCAACTCTCGAGACTGGGCTAGGATGAGCCAGTCGTCGATGAAGTTGAAATCCGGATGCCCTGGAGCCTCAGCGGGGCCAGTGCTGCATCCATACACTTGGTGAATGTGCGATGGGAAGTGCCAGGCCGAATGGAAGAACCCGATACTGGTAAGCCACACCCCCGAAGGCAAACCTCAGGAACTTCCTGTGAGAAGGACGGATGGAGACCTGGAAACAGGCGTCCTTTAGACCTATCGTGACGAACCAATCCTCAGATTGGATGTGCGTCACAATGGTGGGGATGATGAGCATCTTGAACCTGAATCTCCTCAGAGACCGGTTAGAACCCGCAGATCCAAAATAGGGCACGCAGCCCTCCGTCCTTCTTGGGGACTATGAAGTACCGGCTGTAGAACCGGTGTCTCTGTCTGGGGGGGAGACACGTTCCACGGCCCCTTTCCTCAGCAGAGTACGAACTTCCTGTCCCAACACCGGACCTTGCTCCAGGCAGACCACAGTCCAAACCACCCCCTCTCTTCTGTTGAATTTGGAGTGCGGGTTTTGAACTGTAGTCGATACCCATCTATGGCAGTGCGCAGGACCCACGGAGAAATGTTCGTCAGGCTCCGCCAAGCCTCTGCAAAGTCTGCCCCTCGGGGCTGGTGGTCGGTGTCTCGTGTGATCTTCTGGTGGACCCCTGAAGCCCCAGAACGGCAGGGGGGAGCCGCCGAAGATCCACGGTGAGTGAGTCGGGACACCGCCTGACTGCAGACCCTCGGGGCAGGCAGTACGGCGTGGACTCAATGGTGGCAGGTGCGTCCTGAACGTGTAAACTGCGGGATAACATCACCTGTTGCCACGGCGGAGGGGACCTCGGTCGGTGGGGGGGGTGCGGGAGGGGAGAAAGACTCCCCTACCCCGGTCTTCCCTGAGCTCCGTCGGGACTGGATGACGGTCCTCAGATCGCGTCTCTCAGACGCCTGAGGGTGAGAGCGCCGTCTCGCTGCCCCAGCTCCTCGGGGGGGCCCCCGAGAAGCGACACTCTGCTTCCTCTCCTCTCCGTAGGAGCTCGTAGAGGGAAGGGACCTACGCCTGGCAGCCTCAGCTGCCTTGGGTCCAGACCGGCGAGGGAGGTACTGGTGGAACGCTTCGCCCTGCGTCTAACGCTCCGTGGTTCTGCGAAGCTCCGCCAGATCTTCCTCAGAGGGACCCCCCCTCTGAACCATCTCCTGTAGCAGGTCGGCTTGGTAGGCTTGAAGCACCGCCATGGTGTGCAAGCTCGCACCTGCCTGGCCCGCTGCCATGTACGCCTTCCCCACGAGCGTGGATGTGGTGCGACATGGTTTGGATGGTAACACCGGCTTCTCCAGGGAGGACGCAAGTCGAGGGGAGATTCTCCACCCGAGGCATCCTCCCATAACCATAACATTACACCCCGATCACATTACTGTAGTTCAGTGATCGGGGTGTGGAAAGCAATGTAGAGAAGGGTCTGCCCCATGATTACTCAGTTCATCATGTAAATCAGGAGTGACCGGCGTGGAGGTGGCGTGTGGTGTTTAAGAAACCTTTCATCAAGCTTACCACTAGCCTGTGGTGTCTGCTCCTTTGGCCAGTTGATGTTGAGCTTAGCCACGGCTCTAGTCACCACCTCCAGCAGCACGTCATAGTCGGGCGCCGCCAGATGACGCCGCCCCGACACCCGGGAAGTCATCGTCCACCAGATCCAAACCGCGAGCGGGAGAAGCCGAGAACGGGCTCCCGAACGAGGAAAGGAAGCGTCGGAGCCAGCGGATGAAGGTCGGGAAAAAGCCTCGGCCGTCCCGAAATACTCCGACAGATCACGCTGTGAACCCATGAGTGAAGCCGCCGGGCCGCCTCAGCGGCCGCAGGGCCCACACCACGAGGAAAACACATCCGGCCATCCTCGGAAAAGAGAGCCATGCTGTACCTCAGTACCCGCACGGAAAGGGCTTCGCAACGGGCGCAGGCAGCCCCCTCGAGAGCTGCCCGGGCGTGCTCCATCCCCAAACATGAGACACACATCTCATGAGAATCTCCATCCGTGATGTACCGAGGGCAAGAAAAAAAACACACCTTCTGTACATCTGATTGCCGGACATGCTGGTAGACTTTTTCTTCAGGTAAGACATACTGCTTGTAGGACTGGAGCTTTCTTCAAACAACATACAGAGCGCCTGCTGAATAGAAAAAAGCTAATGATGAGTGTGTACAGGTGTGCTTTATACTCCTCCGGTTATTCCGTCACACCTTACCGTTCTAGCAACAAGCCAATAGGATTGGAGTGATTTCATTCACGTTCAGACCTGCTTCACCTATAGGCGTTCCCATAGTGTCGTAACCGACGCAGTTCGAGTTCCCTCGAAGGGGAACCACTTTTCTTTTGAGGTAACTACGGCAACGTCAACGGCCTGTTTCTGTCACTCGTTTCTGAGAAGGCGATCAAGCTAGCCGCGCCAAAATTAGGAGTGCACACGTATACAAGCCTTTATGGTAAATCCACAGAAACAGTCCAGTGCGAGCTGATAGGCAGGTTGGCGAATTTGTCCGGTCACTTTCTCTCTTTACAAAGACAAGTGTTGCAGTATGAGAGTCCTACCTGAAGAGAGGCTATTAAGTCTTTATGTTACGACATACGAGAACCACATACAACATTATTTATCAAATTGGGTCGGACTTGATGAATTTAGCGCGAGGAGGATACATATGTGACAACGTCCGATTTTCAAAATAAGGTGTCTATCCAGTATGGAAATAATATTAATTGGATTATATCATACACAGAAAGTATAAAACATTAAATGTGTCCATTAAAGTAATAAAAAACAACAACACAAAATGTTAGGAAAATGACTTATTTTATTATCTATTCTTTGAATTAGGGTTGCTGGAAAAACATTAGGCTACATCTGTTGCCTTTTGTTGCTGTTTCATCACCATTTATAGCTATATAATGGGTTTATGATAACATAGTTTACTAGAGTACAACATTGTTCAAGTTATTCTTAGATATCCTCTTAATTTAGCCCCAAATTAATGCATTTAACTTTAAATGTACAAAATTTTCTTCCGGAGGGGCATGGTCCAAGGTCCACCCACCATAGTCTCTTAAAATCCTGTGGGAAACACTGCTGCATTGATGGAATAGTGACTGTTTCACCTGTGAACACCTGGGGCAAGGGGTGTGGTTATCCTTGTGAGGGCATTTGAGGGCGGGAGTAGTGTTTTATTGGTCCTTCTCTCATATCCTGAAGTGAACACTGCCCAAATTAGTGGGATTACAAACAGAGGATAACCTTTAATATCCTTTTGACACACCAGGCCAAAGGTAAGAAATTGAGACATGTTATACTTTCTCTTGTTGTCAGTTGTGTTAAGGTAAAAAAAGAATGGAGAGGCATACAATCCAAGATGCTTGAGTCCAGTGTGAAGTTTCCACAGTCTGTTTGTTTGGGGAGCTATGTCATCTGCTGGTGCTGGTCCACTGTGCTTTATTAAGTCCAGAGTCAGCGCAGCCGTCTACCAGGACATTTTAGAGCACTTTATGCTTCCTTCAGCAGACGAGCTTTATGGAGATGCTGACTTCATTTTCCATGGGATGACCATGACCATGGGATTACTGTGCTTGATTGGCCAGCAAACTTGCCTGACCTGAACCCCAGAGAGAATCTATGGGGCATTGCAAAGAGAAAGATGAAAGACATGAGACCGAATAATGCAGAAGAGCTGAAGGCCGCTATTGAAGCATCCTGGTCTTCCATAACACCTCAGCAGTGCCACAGGCTGATAGCATCCATGCCACGAGGCAATAATTCATGCAAAAGGGGCCCAAACCAAGTACTGAGTACACATGCATGATTATACTTTTCAGAGGGCTGACATTTCTGTATTTAAAATCCTTTTTGTTTTTTACTGATTTCATGTAATATTATAATTTTATAAGCTGTACGCAATAATCATCAAAATTATATCAAAGGCTTGAAATATCTCTCTTTGCATGTAATGAGTCTATATAATGTATTTTCACCTTTTAAGTTGAATTACTGAAATAAATGAACTTTTGCACGATAGGTTAATTTTTCAAGTTTCACCTGTATAGTGTCAAGGAAACATCTGAAGGATTAGGAGAGTATTCTTCTTGCGGGTCAGCATGTTTTATGTAATGGTCTGACTCTGACTCTGAAACTCTGTCTACAGATTATTTGCATGAGCTGGTGTAAATCATGTTCCTGTGGCAATATCTGACTCTACTCCTGCTGGTACATGTTCAAATATGCAAAGGTAAAGCCCAAAACATAACATGTAAAATGTGTGTGTGTGTGTGTGCGCACATACAGTCGTTTTGTTAGTAAGTGTATATCAGCTGCACTCGTGGGGATAAAAGCCCAGCAGGCAACATTTGGGGAAGTGAACCTTATTTGGAAAACCTGCATGTTAGAGCAACTGGCCTTTACTGTGGTTTGCAAAAACGAATAACACTATATAGACCTATGAGCACATCTACTGTGTAACAGTTACTGAGAGCAGCTTCTTCAACATAAGGTCACTCAGTATAATGTAATACACTTGTTAATTTGTTTGCGGTTTATTTAGGAAAGGAAAACTCAGGGATAAAATGTTTGACCACAGTATCAAGAAAAACAAATCAGTCTCTATATCACTACCAGTTCAGATGGAAATCAATATCTTGTTGTAAACACACTTCATTTGCTTAGCAGACTGTTAATAGAAGCAGAGGTGAGTGTTCTTGAGTGTCTTCATTATTATTGGTTGTTTGCTCAATTATCATGTGGTTTGGAAGCTGGCAGTGACATAATTTAAACTCTAAAATTTTCTTGCTGAATTGTCAGATAGTTTAATGCCACTGAATGAAACAACACACACCATAGTCTGTCTCAAGTGTCAATATTTTGTTAGTTGTGGTGTTCTAGGCTGTAGTAATTAGTATTATTTCTGCACGTCTTCTTTACTAATCCAGACATGATTGGTGGCGTGGATGCACTTACCATTATAACCACATCTTCTGCCATTCTGAAGCTCTATAACTATATGTGTCAGTGATCTTGACGTGAATTTCATTTAGCATATGTTTTGGTTGAATTGGGCTGCAAACTATTTTTATTACATGTGAACTTTGTGTTTGCTAAACTTCCTGCTTTCCCTGTCGAACTTGTTCATGAAATGTTTGTCTAGTAGGCGAAGCTGCGTTTGAAATGTTTAAATGTAGTATTTACAATGAATACTCCCTGACTCATATGGAAATTGTCGCTGATGTTAGCTGACACCATGGATGAGTCTGAATATTTAGAGCAATGCTTGTTAAGATAAAAATGCCCATGTCTTATTGTTTTTTGGTTTTTTTTGTCCCCTACACAAATACACCTTTCTCCATTTCTTATTTCCCTCACCAGCACTTCCAGATGAGAGATGTGCTGAATTTACGGATCTAGATCTTGGTCAAGCAATCATTGGAACCAGACTCGAAGTCAGGTTCTTGGTGTACACTAGACTTAATGGCTCCTGTGGTACACTGGTTTCCCAATCAGACCTGTCCAACCATCCCCGTTTTAACTTGTCCAGACCAACTACCTTCGTCATTCATGGGTATCGGCCCAATGGATCTCCACCAATATGGGTGTCAAATGCCAGAAAGCTGCTGCTGGCCAGGAATGATATTAATGTCGTCATAGTGGACTGGAACCACGGAGCTGCTAATGTTAATTATTTTAAGGCAGTAGAGAACACACGCAAAGCAGCGGACTATATCACTGCTTTCATTGAAAAGATGCAGGTATGAGATGTATCTGATGCACTCTGGGACTGTGATTGCTATGTCTAGATAGAAATGTCAAGACTGTGTTGTGTGTAACAAGCAAATAACTGATCTTTTCAGAAACATGGTGCCTCTTTGAGCTCCATCCACATGATCGGAGCCAGCCTTGGGGCTCATATATCAGGCTTTATAGGGGCCAACCTGAAAGGTTCAATTGGAAGAATTACAGGTAAGTGTGCACATTCAAATTCAGATCACTTTCATCATCTAAATTTTGCTATCCTAGCTATCCACAGTTCTACAGAGGTGAGATATCTGTTTTTTAAAACAATTCTGAATATTGCTGTCTAGATTTCTAAACCATGAAATGCTTCTCTCAGGACTAAGATTCAAATTCCATCCTAAAACAAACCCCACTGCTATAGGAGAGCAGTTTGTTTGGTCTGGGTGTGGTTCTTGTGATAGTTCATTGCCAAACAGCACCATTAACTTGGGAAGCTTGTCAAGAACATTTCTTGAGAATTGTGACACTCGAATGAACTTAATTCCTAGATTGCTATAATTACAAATAACTACTAACACAGAGTGGCAAAGTCCTTCCTGACAAAGTGTTTGTAAGGGTGCAGAGTCTATGAAGGATTTTGGATATGACCGAGTTGTGGAGTTGCAGCAACATATCACAGTTCAGGTTTTGGCCATCTGGGCAAGGATTTGTGTGGGGGAAAAAAATCAGTAGTTTCAATGATTCCACCTGAAATCTCTGGAGAGATTGTGAGGTGAAGGCAGAAAATCCTCTCCATGGTGCCTGTAGTGTCAGTGAAGTTCAGAAAAATAGATGTCTAGGTCAGCACTGCTTGAAATGAGTATAAAGTATTAAAACATAAAGATAAGAAAGGCGGGTCTTGGACATACAATATAAAATATCAAATAAGAGACAGTAATAAAATTAAAGCTGCAAGCAGCAGTGGGCGGGCCCTCGGGGCGTAATGCAGCGGCACAGTAGCAGCCAGAGGTCAGGAGAGGCTCCTTGAATTGCCACGCGTTTTGGACCAGTCACAAAGCAGTTAAACGTCACTTCCTGTGTCCCCTAGGTGGCACTAGACAGCACCTGCTAATTATATGTTGTGCAGCAGTTCCTGTTACCAATGGTGGCGTGATAAGTGAATATTTGCATGTAGAAATTTTCAGGGCGGGATTCTTATCAAACATGTAAAGGCTGATACAGATCTGAGCATGTACACTCCATACAACAACTTCCTGTTTCATGGCGAAGCAGCGAACTTTAACACCACGCCAAGGATGCGCCATTACCCGAAAACTCACAAGCTTCACAACATAGCATCATCAATGTCTTAAGGCTCTTCTGAAACTGTTTTGAAGTAGGTGTGGCCAATATGTTTGGAGTAGTACATAACTGTGTAAATCTTGACACTTCCTGTTGCAGTTGGTGGCGCTATGACATTGAGTGTTGTTTGGCTGATGGTTCTGTTCAGGGCGGGAGGGTCATCCTACATTTTTCAGATGTGAGCATGGACAAAAACTTACAGATAGCACAACTTTTCATCGTCAATGCCTCTAGAATGCACCAATCAACTTGAAGTCTATCGGCTAAATTTCCTAGGAGGAGTTTGTGCGTAATCTTTGAATTGTCAAAAATTGGCCGTTAAAGTCATAATGGCTGACTTCCTGTTGGGTTTAGGGCATTGGCCCCGGAGGCTTTTTTGTAGGTCTGGACATGATACATGTGCCACAAAGATTTCATACAATTCGATGGGAATGTCAGCGAGCCATTTTGCCACGCCCATGCGCAAACACCATATGGCACGTAAATTGTTGCCACCCTTGAACTTTGTGCAGTTTGCGTTTTTGAGTATGTTAATGCTGTCAAAATTGAGCTATATCTATACTGAAAACTGACTTGTCAGATGTAATAAAGTGCAATGAAGATACTAAATCTTTACAATAAGAACATTTCAGTCTTCCCAAGCCTGCTATTTTAGCTTCCACCAGCTAATGTTGGGTTTGAGGTTAAGCTTGAACCTCTACTGAGGTCTGTTGATGTGATGTTTGCAGCTCTGGATCCTGCTGGGCCTCAGTTCACTGGCACTCCTCCAGAGGGCCGCCTGGACTCCACAGACGCCCAGTTTGTGGACGTCATGCACACAGACATGGATGGTCAGTTTTTACTGAAATACTGTATTATATATTCATTTTATATTTTTATATGTATTATTTTTACATCCAAACCTACAGATTTACACATGTGAAATTTTTTGTCATGTGCCAACTGTATTCACAGTCTTGGGCTTCAGAAAACCTCTAGGTCATATTGATTTCTATGTTAATGGAGGACTGGACCAACCTGGTTGTCCAAAGACCATCTTTTCTGGTAAGGTTAATATTTACTGAATTTATGTTATGAGAAATGGAACTACTAACTAGAAACAGAAATACTGTATGGTTACAATGACCCTTGTTTGTTATCCCCGTTTAGGAGAATCCTATTTTACATGTGACCACGAGAGAGCAGTGTTACTCTACCTTGACTCTGTGAATGGGACGTGTGTCAGCAGGGCCTTCCCCTGCTCCTCCTATAAAGACTTTCTGGATGGAAACTGCTTGAAATGTGACCAGTTTGGTGCTGCAGGATGTCCTGTTGTTGGTTGGTATTTTAATAAACTCAGACATGAAGACGCATTGTTTCAGTTTTCACTGAGAAATATGTTTCAATAGACAAATTACATAAACACAATATTTAACAATACTATTAATGAAAGAACTCTTATGTGATGGTATCTTTTATTTCGTCAGACTTCAATATGTTGTTGTTGTAAACCTGACGCAGCTGTTTCACTGAAATCCAGGTTATGATGTCACAGAGTGGAAAGATGTCCTGCTGAGGCTGGGCCAAACAACAGCGTTTTTTACCACAAATGCAAAGTCTCCATTCTGTAGTAAGTAACACAACACTAATAATCTTAACAAATGGACAGAAACACATAGCAGGAACATTTAATCCCACTATGGCAATGTAATAACTGCACTGTAGTGTGGTATATAGATATATTGGTAATGTAAAAGTAAAGGGACACATTAAAAGGCATATCATACTTTGTGAAAGGATTTAAAAATATATAAAAGAGCTTTGAGCCCCTTTAAATGGTTGAATGCTTTACTACTACACAAGGTGCTTTCTATATTCTCAACATCAATCGTTTAGTTTGACATTGGCGCATGGTGGCACAAAAGCAGATGGAAAAAGATGGAAGACAGAAAATGACGGCTACCTGTGGTAACATGTGAATAAAGAGTATAAAATTAGACTGAAAATTAAATTCCGACTTCAGCTGATCAATTTTTTATTCATGAGAATGATTTTTTTTTTTTTTTGAGCCAAATACTTTCATGAGTGTCATCAGCTGAAATGGCAAACATATTGTACTTGAATAAAAATCTTAATGTCCCCTTTCAGTGTCCGCCTACACAGTGGACATGATGTTGGCGAACGAGGATGTGGACTGGGGATACATTACTGTTAAGCTATATGGTAATGGTGAAGAAGCAGTGGCAACTATTGTCTCCAAGTAAGTCTTCACTTTATCATAAGATAAATAACAGATATTCCACCTCAACTTCTTTGTCCATCAGGTGCTTCTTTCACTCAGTAATGTCTTTTTCCCCCTCTTTTCCATATCAGTAAAAGTGCAAAGAGTAACACAGAGACCAAGTTGTTTGCCCAGTTTGACAAAGACATTCAGTCAGTGGAAGAGGTGTCTCTCAAATTCTTCACCTGGAATATATTCAAGCTCAAATATAAATTCAGTGTTCTACAAATCCGTCTCACAAACCTTCAAAGCAAGGAGAGGTATGAAATAAATATATAACACACACACACAGATTTTTGTGTAATATCTTTAAGAAATTTTATCTAGGAGATATAATTTCAGCTGGTTTCACTGTGTAAGTGGTCTCTTACTTCTCCCAGCTCAAGATTTACAGTAATGTTGACTCTGTCCTTCACAGGCCTCTCTGTCTATATGACATCCTTCTTCAGGAGAACAAAGAATTTACCTTCAGCCCTGTTCTCTGTTAAGAATCCAACCCGACAGACCCCACATAAAAATAAAAAAAATGCCACTGCTTGTATTGGAAGAGATTCAACTGACTTTCAAATCCCAGACTTTCTTACCATTAAAAAGTAGTGCACTCTTAACTTATGAAGATACTTTGCTAAACGTGGATTTTTGAGTTTTAACATGACATCACTAGAAACTTTAGATTTGTGTCTATGGATTGACCCTCAACTATGAATAAAATCTCAAGACAATGTCAGACATCTTTTAAGAGTTCACAATGTTCCTCACACAACGACTGATTTAACTGTATTGACTGACTGCTTGGTCCGTCGAGTATTTGTACAAAAGGCAAACTATTACATTACTTATTTACTAATATACTAATGTGATATAAGCTTCATGTTTGTGCATCCACATCACAGGCTCGCCTCACACCTAGAAAACCTCTGGGGTAGAGAATGCATTATGTCAATGAGATATGCCAACGGATAGTGGAACAAACGTGATATTTTCATATTTCCCCCACCACAAGATGCTAAAATAGCAGTCATTAAGAGTCCATCTACTGAAATAAAAACAAAACAGGGCCATGTGCTGACATTTCCAGAGAGAACTGCCAACAGATACCCCACTCAGTGTGACATCGGCTCAAGTGACAGGTTTTTTTTATTTGTTTTTTGCAGCTCCCAGTGTGCATCACGTTTGCACTTTCAGCAATGACTCAGTAAAAACATTCAATCCTCTTGGCCAGCCCAACAAAAACAAAATGAAAATGACCATCTAAGAGAAGTGTTTCGCTAAAAAATAAGAACTTTTCATCAAAGGTGGTCTTTTCAAAACGCAGAAAAATATTATTTCTCAGAGTGCAGAACACGACCTTTTAAAACTTCTCAAGCTTGTCTGTGGTGATGGTGAAGTTCTCCACTTATTTAGACATGTGCTTCTTCATACGTTGGATCTCCATCTAAAACATAACAAAAACTTAAGTCTAATATTCTTACCTCACAGCAATTCTGCCTAGTTATCAGAAAGCACATTAGAGCAACTACACAGAATGGATTCCTTTTGCTTCTTCATGCCGCACCTGTAAAGTCAAGCGAATCCTTTTCTCCTCATCGAGCTCATTCATCAGCAGTTTAATTTCTTTGCTGGAACACACGATAATTAAAAACAAATTAGTACTGCAACAAACTCTTCTGATTAAGACCATTACAGATGCAGGGATGAGAATGTCACACACACCCAGGCTAAGTGTGAATGGGCGGGTACAATAAAAAACTGATTGCATGACAAAGCCATACTTGTGCTGACTCTTCATCTGATCAAACTGGTCCCTCAGGTCTCTCAGCTCTGTCTGAAGTTGTTCCAGATTCGGTGAAGTGTGTTTCACCCGATCTCTGCTGGGCTGGGGGTCGGAGTTGAGACCTGGGGGCAACGTTGGATGTAGCACAGCAGAGAGAGCCTTTGGTAACAGAGAGGAGAAGGACTGCGTGGGCGCACCTTTGGACCTCGCTGCTGCCTGTAGAGAATAACCCAACATTTACTGACAACAAAAACCTGAAACACAATAATTTGAATTTTAAGCCTTAAGTTTTTCTTGTACACTTACAGGCAGGGCAGACCCATTGTGACTTGTTTCCTGAGAGTTTCTTGAGAGTGTTAAAGATTCCAGCTCTTCACTCTGGTTTTCTTTTCTTTCTTCCTCCATCATGAGTGTTACCTGTAAGTTAAGTATATTTTGAGACAGCTGATAGGTAAAAAAAATATTTAAAGGGTACTTCACCTCCACCCATTGTAAGTGTGGAATAAATGCTCCCAGCTTTAGTTTGGTGTCCCCAAATAAGCTTTTCAACATGGCCTTTAGGTCATAGATTGATTACAATGATACCCCTCTAAGGAAATTTCAGAGTATATCATATTTATTACAGGGCAACTAACTTTTAATCTTCTTTTAAGTAGTGTGAGTGCATATCTTTCAGTGCTGTACATGGCTGTGTGTGTGTGTGTGTGTGTGTGTGTGTGTGAGGCAGCTCAGAAAAGTTAAAATTATCCCAAGGACAGATGGGACACAAACCGAGGAGACCACACACTCTTTTCAAACAGTATTTAACTGGATGATATACTTCCCAGAGTCTGAAGCTCTGACTGTAATCTGCCATCTGCGGCATGAGCTACCTGCTCATTCAGCTTCTCCGCGATTGACACAATTGAATCAAACTCTTCAGTCTCTTCGAGAGAAACAGAGAATAAATGTTAAAACCCAGAACTAACTTAAACCTATCACTATAGAGAATGTCATCCATTTTCACAGTAATAAGACAACATCTTCCAAAGCCTGCATTATCAGTCAGCCTCTTTCACATGCAGCAATCGTAATAGTAGTATGTAAAATGATGTTGCGACAGGTTTGACAACAATAGTTGCGAGGCTTACCAGGAACGAGGGCTGAGCTATAGCTGCCCATCGTGACAGAGAGGAATACAAGTGCAGAGAGTGAAAGACAGAAAAACCTGCAGAGTCTTTAAGTCTACATCTACAAATGACAGATTGGAGCAAGTCAGTGGAGCAGAAATCAACAGAAACCTGTCAGTTCAGTGCACTCTGATGTCATGCTACACCTTTAACAACCTGAAGAATAGTGGTTTTATTTGTTAAACCATGACCTGTGCTCTTGGTAATATAACAGCAACATCAGTCTGTATATTAAACTGAGATAATTATTTATCAAAAACTGAAACTTGGCAGCCGTGTCTCTCATGAAACAGCAGTGAACCAAAATGCAACACATGCTGGAACCAATGCACAGACAGAAGCACAGTGACAGATTATATACATTAGCAGACATAGTAACCCAATTACCATATTATTGTCAGTTACAGTCAAGGATCTGGTGCGCACACTCACCTTGTTTGGCCAGCGTCACCGATGAGATACAGCAGCATCTGTGGTAACAGGACACCAGCCATTGTAGCCCACTGTGGTCTGCAGAGTATGTTGTGATGAGGTGTGGTACTGTCAGGGCTAAGTTTAGCTCCACTCTGCTCACAAATACCACCGGGACAGAGCGAAGGGCGTCACAGGGTGAAGGGCGAGAGTTGTGTTTAAAGGGGCAAACTGGAGTGCAGTTCTGCTATAAGGCATAAACAGTATTTAAAGGGACACGCCACTGATTTTACACTTGAAGTCTATTTTATTGATCGTGAATAATTAAAGCCCTTAGAGGATCTTTAAATGTCTATGGTATTAAACAGCACGTGAAATCAGTTGTATGTCGTCTGTGTGAGTTAATAAAAATTACCCTGATGTCATCAGAGTCATGTCAGCTCAAGACTTACACTTTTAACAGAAAGCCTGAGTTAGAAACTGGAGGGTTTTTTTATTTTGTTTTTTTAGGAGGCTGGGGCCATTTAATTGCATTATGGGAAATGTAGAAATGAAGAAAAAATGATTACCAAAAAAAGTTTTTATTTCAGAACACACAAACTGGTTTGTAGGCAAGATTAAGAAAACTTGTGATTATAGGTTAATGATTCTTAAAAGCATTATTGATGGACTGTCCAAATCTACAAGCAAAACTCAAAACAAATAAAGCTTGTTAAATCTGATTTTATTTCAAGTCTCAAACAATAAACTGAACATGTGATTATACAAGTTTTACAAGTAGTAGCTAAGTGTCTTGTGACAAGCAGCAGTTTCTAATCAACACCCATGATTAATCAAATAGGACATCTCATGTGATAAGTCTTTACAAACAATAAAAAGGTGAGATAGTAAACACTGCTTGGACTTCAATCTGAAATTGAATGCTGCAGGTCAAAAAAAAAGAAAAAAAAAGAAAAGCTAAAACTATTAAATGTAAAATAAACTCACAAGCAGCAATTCCCAAATAATTAAACACCAGTCAAAAGCAGCACAGTACAATGTTGTAGGATGTTACAAATATTCTAAAACAAAAAGTACTGCAGTACTTCAAAGACAACTGTAACACCAGATAACAAATGTAAGCAACAACACTTCAATTATTTACAGGTAGGTTGAGATTGTAGAGAGAGATGGGTTTGTGCGGCCCACACCAAGCGGAGATAATCTTGATGTTTTCCAGTATCATGTCTGCACATTGTGGGACCTGTGCTGAGACACAAAAACAAAACTCCTTTGAATACAACATTTCTTGAAGATCTTGAAATGTAAATTATACACTGCTTTGCCATGATAAATAAAGACTTGTTTACAATGAAGAAGTTACACATACAGCTACACAGCTGACTAATGGACAACACCACACTGTTTTGAAATTGCCATGCTGCCCCCTCACAGCCACTGCATCATGATAACTTACCGGAAATTCTCACCAGCGTTGCTGGTTGGGTCCTCGGTTGTACGGTGGGCGCTGACGCATCACTCTCATGGTGCGGTATTTGGACATGATACTGTGACTTTTTCGGAACACTGGCCTCTGATTTGGGAAGGGACGTGGCACCAAGCTCTCCTTTTGTAAACAAAGACATTCAAATATTAGTTATTTAAAAAAAATAAATAAATAAATAAAAGAGTCGATGAGCCATTTAAGATTTCCCAGAGGAACCAAGTGATCTCTGAAGAGGGCATGCATACCATGAGTGGTCTTCTAACATTTGAAGATAGTTCAGGGCCTGTCTTCCTTGGACCACCAATGAACTTTGGTCTCTGTAAAACACAATAGGGAAGGCTGAGTACATTCAGTAGGCCATTATCCTTATTCATTCTTACAACATATTTTAGGCAAGTACACATTCATGAGGCTGAAAAGGCTGACCTCTGACAGCTTCCTTGTTTTCATTTATTATATTTGTTTTTGCAAAATATTTGAATATAATTCAACATTTCAAAAGCAGTTAATTTTAACATATGCAAGTTTTGCTTACTGCAGCAATTCTTAACCATATACAGAGGGACCAGCTCTGCACGGTCCTATGCAATAAAAGTTTTGCTCACCTGCATGGGTCCTGGTCCAGGTCCTTGTCCTGGTCTCCTGAAGGGCCTCCCAGGTCTATGGCAGTCCTGCATCATATTAAATGGCCTGCAAAAAAATAAAGGAAACATTAGAAAAGGGACACGTTCTGTACGAAGCTTGCATTTAACCTACGGAAAACAAAGCACTTTCTAATGAATGAGAAGCTTGTTTTAAACACTAACAAAAACTGATTCTATGAAATGTACCTGAACATCTTCTTATCCAAATAGCCCCGTTTTCGGTCTTCAGAATCATTCGTCCTTGAGAGTCGGCTGTTCAGTGTGGTATCTGCATCTGAACTGTGTTCTAAAAGAAAACAAAAAAATAAATAAATAAAAAAAAGAGAGAAGAGATAAACCCTGCAGCAGAAGCTTTTAAAAAATAAACAAAAAAGTGAAATGAGCCATCAAAACAATAGATAAATGGCCTCTGGTGCACCCTTAAAATATGTGAGATCAAAAACAGAACTGACTTACCAGACTTGGGTTTTGGGCTGCGATCTTTTGGAGGTGAGCCGTCCTTAGAGGAGGAGCTTGGCCCAGGTGGCCAGTGGGACAAAACAACAAGGTCACGTTTCTCTATGGGAGAAGATCTGGGGGGAGATCAGTGGAGGCTGTGTTAATGACATCAGCATCCCCATAAGATGTGTATGAACATCTTCAATGTAGCCTGTATACATTAAAATCGCCTCATTCAAGTTATCACAGTGATTAATGGAAACAGATTGCAAGTATTAAAAAATAAAATCACCCTTGCAACTATTAGAAGTAATGCAATTTAAACCAACAGCTGTTTTGCAGGCAGACAAATCATCATAAAGCCACGCATCACACATGGGTACTTACAAAAACCATGGAATGTCCATGCTTCTTTACTCCTATTTTTGTACCCTGAATCAATCTGAGCTCTCTTCATTTACTCAGTGATTGTTAGAGCGGGCAAATCTTGGAGAGAACTTTTAGATATTGGTCTACATCACATCCCCGAATCTTCTATCATTCCTCTCTCAGAAGCACAGGAGAACGACGTGTTTGCACAGACAGCCTGAACTTCAGAAGATTCCTAGTTGTTCCTTTAGCCGTTTGGATCCATTTCATCATCCGCAGGGTTTTCCGAGATGGACATGAGAGTAGATGGGAGATTTGAGTCCTGGAGAAAGCAGTAGATTTGAAGTGAATAGTTGAACGTGTGATTACGTCAGATTAACAGCTTCTCCAGAGCTGTGCAGTGCTTTTAAGAGATGATCCATTGTTTGTCTGCCCATGAAGAAGTCCTGGTTGCAAGGCAACTTACTAAAAAGCTTTGTAGTTCCCACAATCGACACTTGTATTTCTTTAGATCTTCTGAGACTCTGGGGCATGATTTAGGAAAAGGCAGTGATTTAATAAAGATGATCACATGATTGGTTCTGCAGTAAAAATGCAGTCAGGGGGCTTGCACAGTGCTCTTGTCCTCTTCTTGTAGTAGTCTTGAAGGTACAGTGGGATTGTTGATTGAGATCATTAGTTGCCCATTACACTGAAATGTCTTTGCAGGTTGACTTGCAGGTGTGGGTTAGAGATCTTTGTTGCATTACTGAATATTGGGATTTACCGCAGGCCGATGCACACTTTATTATTACTTTTAGGTCACGTCAGATTATACAGATGAACTGACCACAGCACATGCTGACCTGTAGGCCAGCTCAAATGCATTCACACTGATAATGACAGAAATTACCAAAGTGATCTTCCTTGTGTCTGTCCCCACGCAGTATGAAGTTGGAATTTTGGCCGCTTGTAATCTCTTTTCATCTTCTGATGTACTTTAACTCCATACTCATGGGTCCGTCTTGCTCCTCAATTTGTGGCTCATCCTTTTTAGAGATTGATGTAGTCTTCTTTTGTGTTCTCAGCCACTTTATACATTAGCTTTTTCCAGCTATTCAAAATGACAGGAGTGTTTCACGGCAGGCATTGTTGATTAAAATAGAGGTGGCCACATAGTAGCGCTATTGTTGTTTGAATCCTGCGAAATTTGACGTCATCCCTGGTGTAGGTCATCAAAATACTTAAAGATAATTCTCCCGCTTTGACGTCGTTAATGGTTGATGGCTGCCTGGATGTGTTCTTGAAGTTCCTATTACTGCAGAGAAGCAGAAAACTCCAGTACTTAGATGCACTTCAGAAGTACAAGTAGTAGTTTGGCTCCTCTTCATTTTACTAATTCTGAAAGGGAATGATGCAGCACCATCCACATGGTTCCAAATATTAGGTGGTGCAGAATTGTTTAGTTCCTTCTGATGAGCCAATTCTTCTGGCATAGATTATTTCACTTGAAGGACTATGATTTCCACGTTTGCGTAAAACACAAATTGAGCATTACTCCGGGTCTATAATGCATGCCGATGAATGTGTGAGGAGAAAAATTCCTGAATATGTTTACTATTGGTAAAAAAATTATCAATTGTTTGCCGAATTCCTTGTCTCGGACTTTAAGTTTTTTTATGTTGTTAAAAGTCTATCATGACTACTTCGGAACTCAATAAAAATAATTACTGGTAATTTGATGAGCATACACTTCAATCTTTGCATAGGAGTTATGTATCAGTTAATTTATCAGGGCACTTCTAACTGATGGTGGCTTATAATGTCCTTCAGCAAGTCCTCTTCATTGTTTTATGGCTTCTGTCGTCTGTGTTGTCAGCAATAATCACCGTCATCCATCCTGGCGTTATGGTTATATTTAAAGTAAAGTGTCACATCTCAGATCATCTTTGTTTTGGGAATTTCCACTTGACTTGCAACTTTGCGGTCTTGGTTTTAGTTGGTGCAGTGAAGAGTCAACGTTTGGACATTCATTTGATGAATCTCTTTTCCCAAGGCCCATGTATGACTGATTCGTTGCCATTCCTTTTTTCATTTAAAGAAAAGGGGGGGGGGGGTTGAGTAGCATTTTCAGTATTGGTCATGTTTAGTGTAGTCCTCTTCATATCCTCTTCTGCGTACGCAGATACCGTTTTACACTACATGTTGTAACTTCAGTTTACTTTTGTTCTCTATTGGGGATGAAGGGGTCTTCATGACATGCTGAAGAGCACTTCTTTCAAGCTTAAGACCATCAATGCTGACAAACTGATGAATCCTTCAACAGGCCAGATCAACTACTTTTTCCACACCCTTCATCAACGGTAGTAAACATTACTTGTCAGGTTTTAAAACAGGTTGGCTTTTTTTTCCCCCCTATGGTGCGTAACTTAGCACTCTCTCTTCAGCCCACTTGATAGGAAGATATTTTGAAACATAGGCAGCACGCAGACAGGAAGGCATTTGAAAACTTTTGCAGCTTTCATCAACTGAATCAGTGTTGCACATTTAGCCATCACGATATCTCCATTTTCCACAGCTGGCACCCCCTTCACATAGAGACATTCTTTCTTGACCTCCTAATCACCATCAAGCCCCTGCGAACAGTGCTAGAAGGAAAATACCGTACCTGTGTGTGTTCAAGGACCGGCGAGACTCCACCTGTTCTTTGCCTGTATCAGAGTCTCTTGAAGACTTGCTGGCATTGCTTTCTTCTCTGCGGGGTGACTCTTGTGGTTTTGCCCTCCTTGGTTCCAGGTTTCTCAGGGGAACCGCATTTGACTGGAAACGTTTCTTTCTGATAGCAAAAACAGAACTAACATTCCCCCGTGAAGCAGAGTCGCCCAGGCGAGGTCTGGGTTTCACAGAAGGAGGTATTCTGAGCCCCATGAGAGACTCTGCTCTGACTTGTCTGCTCTTAATCAGGTAACTTTTATCTCTAAGAGACAATGGTTTACCACCAAACGGCCTGGGAATACCGAGCAGCTGAGGTCTCTCTCTCCTGGGGTATTTTGGATTGCCATGCTCCAGTGCAGGGTTTGGGGAGGGCATGCTGATGTCTGATATCCTCCTCTTGCGGGGTCCTGCCACTTGCCTCTCCTGAGGGCTCCTGTTGTAGGAGGTTGACGGTGCTGGACCTCCTTTCCATGAGGGGGTTCTGAAGGGGGGCGGGTGAGAGACATCTTGTGCCCTCTCTCTACTGTGGGATCTGCTGCCCTGCCTCTCCACCGGACCACGCTGCCGCCTGGTGTCTTGCTCAGATGACCACCTGCATATCCATCAAACAATAGAGAAATCATTACAATGATAGATCCATTGCCATGTTAAGTGGGAGGAGGGACGTTTAATTTTTATCTTAATGCAGCCCCTTCATAATGCCATGACAGAATGAAACAGGTAGGAGAAGTAAAGGGCAATAACAGATGTAACACTCCTTTCAATGGCAGGTGAAACCACATTTACATCAGACCCCCATTTATCCCCTCTAATAACTATGAGTTGGGGCAGAGTAGGAGGTCATCATTACCACCCCCTGTGACTGGGAGGACTGGGCCAGCTTCAGGCCTCCTCTTTAATAATTTTACCCAGCTGGGATTGTTGCTTCACTCCTGTACCTCTGTGGACAGGAGCCTCTCCCATGCATCTCTCTGGGGCCCCTCTGTGAACCAGAGGGCCCGTGCTCTCCATTGTGTGGATGAGAGAACGGTCCAGCCTCGTCCCAGCGCTTCATGCCATGACTTGAGTGCTCATTGGGCCTTTCTCTGGGACTGTAATTTCCACGAGGGTCTCGGCTCCGCTGCTCCTGATGCTGAAAACCTGACTGCCTTTTGTTGCCCCTGAAAGACCCCTGGTAAGCTGGTGTAGATCCTGGCCTCCTGTCAGCTGGGTGGCTGCGAAAGTGTCTCGGGGAGGGTGACCGGTGACCTGAGGGGTGGCCATGGAAAGGTGGGCCCCTTTGACCCGGGGATGCTTGTGCAGGACTGCGAGAGGATGACTGATGCTGGACATGGGGGGAGCGGTTTTGCCTAGATGGAGAAGGCCTCCTCTGGCTATGGTGTGGTTCAATTTTGGCAGGGTATGATTGAAAGGAATCCTGATTAGAGGACCTCCAGTGGTTGAAACGTGGCTCCCTCTGCTCCCCCATCAGGGGGACTCTCCTGGTAACTGGGGGACGTCCTCTACCTCTGGAATCTCGCCAGTTAAAAGGGGCCTTTGCTGGGTACCCCTGGACATCTCTTCGACTTTTGGAATTGGGGTTGTAATTCCCTTCACTAGAGCCAACGCCGTGACCATCTCCGTAAGGTCTGATAGGAAACAACAACAGAATTTGATAGATTATAACACATCATGCCATCATTTTGCAAAAAGAAGAGCCAGCATCTTCCTTAAATCACGAACATAACACCAAAGTATTTGGGTGCAACTTGACATAATCATATGACATTACCTGGGCTTTAGGCGCGGTGGTCCAAAATGTGGTCGAACCATCTTTGGAAGTGAGTCAACAATCTATGGACAAAATAGAAACCACATTGAGTTTTGACAGCCCTAAGCTGACATAAAGCTAGACTCCAGAAACTAACCACAATCTTTGTCCCGACTCCGTAGTTGAATCCAGCTGATCATATAAAATAACTACCGAGTAAAACTAACTTCCAATTTCTGTTAAGTTTCTTTTACTCACCGTCTGTTTCTTGCTATCTCACTCATGTGGTAGAAAAGCTGGGTAGTCAGTCAGATAAAAGTTGCTTAAAACATGAATAATACTAAACAGCATGTAAATGACCAGAAAAATGCAGTCAAAAAATTTGAAAACTATGGTGTGCTTTGGAAATATTTCCACAACGTACATGTTACTTTTAATAGATGGTATTAACATGCAAAAGCATGCCTGTCATTTAAATTACATCTATTTTATCTATTACTAATAGATAATACTAATTACTATTACTAATTTCAAAAACCACCATTGATTTTCAACTCATACTGTTAAAATGCTGTTAAAGAACTTATCACAATAAAATTACTAAACAAAATTCAAAAGCTCCATATAGAGCTGTTGCGATAACTGCAAAATTGAGATACGCGCAATTGGTCAAGCTTACCGGAGGATGGCAAGCACCTCAACAAACACAATGTTCATACTTTACACTTCAGGGCGTGTTAAATTATAACCAATTATAATTATTATAATATTGAACAACAGTGTGTAGACTTTAAATTAATAATAGTATACAAGATGCATAAAGACTTGTAAACTAATCACTTTCCAAAAGCAATGGTACATAGCATATCTATAACTGTTACTATGGCCAAAGCCAACCCACAGCAATATGTTACCTATTTACCTGAGATAAAGCCCAGTGAACCTCAACCTAATCAATACTGTCACAGAAAAAAATGACAGGCATCCCTTTCACTTATCCAATATATTAATATGCATATATGCCTAAATTAATATCAACCAGACTGTTATGAATTAGATTATTAAAGAAAGTTTAGATTTTCACGCGTGGTTTGAGAAGGTCTTTAAGGTTGTTTAGGACAGTGGTTCTCAAACATTTTCACATCAAGGGCCCCTAAACTCACAAAACATACACACTCAAAGGACTGCCACAGACTTGATAAGATTTTTCCCCAGAGTGCGGCAAGTGTATGAAACCCATGTCCCAAGTAGTCATACATTAGGTCATTGTGTTACTTATAGATGGAATTATAACGTTAATGAAAACTAATTACCCCTTTTTGCTGGGGAGAACCGCTTTGAGAACCACTGGTTTAGGAAACTGAAACTGTCCAAAGCGTGGACGCAACTAAAGGTTAGCTTAAAAATCTACCGTAGAAAGAACTAAGTTTAATATACAACACATTTCCACATGCTCACGCAACTTTAACGAGCTTGTTTTATTATGCCGCATATTTCACTATACCAGATGAAAAAAACATCTAAATATAAGCGAATAAGATTACAGGGGAGAGATCAGTGTTTAGGCTGTATACGTTTCTAGGATCACTGTCGGTTCAGTTTCAGGCCTGATCCTTAAATCCTGGCGAAAGACCTGGGAAGATCGTGCTTCCATTTTTGGTATTAGCCACTGTCAGCTGGCTGAGAAAACAACATTATTATTACGATCTTTCTGTGGCGAAACGAAACCAGACAGTGGTGTTGCGAGTAACGCAGTGCCGTTAGTAAAAGTACCTCAATGTTTCGGTCTGGTTTCGATTAAGCAACACAAACACCTTATCTCACTGCTATGTCTGCTAGCTGAGGCCAGTTACGTAGCCTGGGTATTTCGCTAGCTTGTTTCGTTGGACGCAGCTCTCGGAAAATTCACGTCGTGAATCATTTAAACATCTTACGACCAGTCAGACAAAATAAACCAATACACATAAACTTTAACTGCGTGTAATTTAATAACTTAGCTAACTACTTACCAAAGACCAACTGTCGATTAGGAGAAAGCTAGGTGCGACCAGGCTGCGACACAGTCGAGTTGCTCTTCCTTCTTCTTCTTTATAGAATTTTGTTGGCGGTTGGCAAACAACGAAATGGTGCATTACCGCCACCAACTGGTGTGGAGTGTGGATCAGAATGACTGCATATAAAAGGACTAAACAAAACAAACAAAAATAAAATAAAACTCAGATCCTCTCAATGATATTGATTACTCTAAGAAAATTAAAAATAATTCCATAGCACTTCTTTCTAAGAATTTCTATTAAATCAAAATGTATTCTTTCCCCTTTAAGGTTATGGATAATTTCCCTCCGTTTCCCCTCATACTTCTGACAGTGTCCCATGACGAGTTTGACTGTCTCTTGTTGTCCACAGTATTTTGAATAAAGTGCTGTTTAATCCAGTGTGCCCAAATCTAAGTCGTGATATAATTGTCTCTTCTCTCCTGTTCCTTCCTGCACATGTCATTTCTCCCGCTATGTTGCTTTCTGTCTTACTGTCCAACCAAAGCTTTTTGTCTCCCTCCTCTCCTTTTCCCAGCAAGGTTTTAAAGTGCCTTGTGGTGGATGATCTTCACTATAGCCGTCTAAATTGACCCAGTAATTCAGAGATAGCTGTAGTCTTCTCATCTCTAATGGTATTTCTCCCATTTCAACCTGTAGTGCTGCTGTTGAAGTTATTTTAAATGCCCCTGTGCATAATCTCAAAGCCTGAGACTGAATGTTGTCTAACATTTTCAGGGATGTGCTTGATACAGATCCATACACCACATAACCAAACTCTAACACTGAATTAATCCACAATATATTGACTTAAAAGCTGCTCTATCAGCCCCCCAGTCACTTCCCACCAAACACCTCATAACATTTAGTACCATTTGTGCAATACCTTCTGAATATGTAGTCTACACCCTATGTAATTCCCTCATCAAACCATAACCCCAAAAAGTGTTTCATTCTTTCCAATTCTTAATGATATAAATTTAGTTTTGCCTCAGTTTTCTTTGTAAAAAAGACATTGGCTTTGTCTTATCAACTGAGAATTTAAAACCCCATTTATATGACCACTCCTCTGTTTTCACAATAGCTTCCTGTCGTTTTTTTTACAATAAATTCCAGATTTCTTCCCCTCTTCCAAATTGCCCCATCATCTGCAAAAAGAGAAACCCTCTCTATTTCCCTGACAACATAATTTATTATTATGGAAAATAATAACAGTCTTATTATCTTTCCTTGAGGTGTTCCATTCTACAATACATTTTAACAATATATTTTCTTGAATAACTCTTTCCTATTCTTACTTGTATTAATCTTCCTCGTAAAAAGTCCTTAATCCATCTATATATTTGTCCTTTGATACCTAATTTGATAGTCTAATTAACAGTCCTCCTCTCCACATCATATCGCATGCCTTCTCTATGTCAAAGAAGACAGCCGCTACACTTTCTCAGTTTACTTGTGCTTTTCTGATTTCATGCTCTAAACATACAGCGGGATCCATAGTATTTCTTCCTTTCCTAAAGCCACTTTGGTATTTTTTTTATATATATCCTTTATTTTCTATAACCTTTCATTTAACATTTTCTCCATTATTTTGCATATATTTGATGTTAAAGCAATTGGTGTGTAATTCCCCGGATGACATCTTTTCCTGGTTTGCATACTGGGACTACCACAGCCTCCTTCCAGCTCTGCGGCAGTTTCCCATCCCCACACACTTTATTATATAGTTCTAAATATATCCTTTCACATTTCACTGAACTGGTTTATCATTATATAACAGATCTGATCCATTCCTGGTGCTGACATCTAGGTTTTCTGGAGATCGCGTTTTAGTTCTGTCTTTGTTAATGGTTTCTGCTTTTCCTCGGCGTACCGTCCTCGCTCTTCAGCACAGCGTTTGACAGCCACACTGAAGCGCCACCTACTGCCTCGCAGTGTTAACTACACCTCTACGCAGACTGCCGGAGGGCTTTTGCTTTTCACAAACAAATGCTGTATAAAATCCTTTTTATATACAGTCTATGATAAAATCACATACAGTCTATCGCGGCTTAAGGCAACGCAAAACAAATTTGCAGCCGCGAGGGACTAAACACTGAGAGACTGAAAACACTGCGACGCGCAAAAACTCAGTTCCACTCAACGATCCAAGTTCAAGCATTTATTACACTTCAACACATAAAAGTACAACTGCACTGCAGTTACCAATTCATAAAATTGCTGTGTGAGTGCGGTCAACAGAAAATGTTCGCTTCCAGGCTCACCCCCTCTCTCTGTCAAAGCCCCCAAAAAACAGCTGAAGCAAACAAATACATCACTATCACTTCTGCCCAAACCCCAGTGGACACGCCCACCATCTACAATCTGAGTGCAGTGAATAATATGAACGAGAACATAAACATAGAACACATGGGAGACTTACCGGTGGCTCCTACACAGTCTATGTATAAAATACATACATAAGTCTTATTAGTGAGTCAGCGTTTCAACAGGGAGCGCTGAAAGTAATCTCCCTTTTACTCATAAAGAATTGTTGGTTCCTTATTAGGCCTACCATTTATTGAAATCATTTGATTTCTAATATTTGCTGCATAAAAGTTTGTCTCTTACCCAAGTAAAATGGGTTTTCTTTTAAATTAACTAACAGACTTTACCCCTCTAGTTACTATTAGCACTGGCTGTGTTTTCTGTAATGAATCTGTCACTCATTTATTTTGGAACTGCCAACTGTATAAGTTTTTCTAAGGATCTGTGTATCCATTTTAAATCCAGAGTCGGCTTTCTCTCTCAATTGGGAAAATGCAGGAATGATAGGGACACATTTTCCTTGATGAACCTTATTATAAATATGGCAAAATCTTATATTCCTATTTTAACTTTACTTTTCCTGCTCTGGCAAGTGAAATAAAATGGCATGGCTGTACAGTGCGAACAGAATAGCTTTAAAGCTGTCTGTATGTTCTTTAGTGTTTTTATGTAATCAATACCTGTTGATGTGTTTTCTGTAGCCTAACCTTTGGCTTTACCCTTCTTTAGGGTTAGGAATTAATTGCTTAATAGCACAGACAAAAAAACACAAACACAAACATAACACAGACCCAATTTTAAATTTTATTGTTTCAGATAGCATTGTTATGACCATGCTAAACATGCACAATGTCCACAGTAATTACATAACTTAAAAAGTTAAGCTGACCGCGAGAGACTGTATTGAAAAATGGGTATGAGCAGACTTGAATACTTCTTGAGGTGGTTGTATATATAATTTATTTATACTCAGTCCCCTAACTCTACACAGCAAATCCTAACTTTCAAATAGGCTACTGTATGTTATAATGGCTACTTCATTTAAGACAATTTCAGAATGCCTCTGTCTTGCCAGGGTATATATTGTCTGAGGAACACAAATCTAAATGTCACTTTATAAGTGACATAATAATGTATATAAGCTGTTGGCATAACTGTTTGCAGTGTGGTGAAGATGATGGGTTTCAAACCAAGGTTCAAGTATTACAGGTCACACACAACAATCCCAGTGGCCAAATAGAAGGGATAAACATACACAGCCAGAGGACTTTAAAACACTTAGCACAAAAACCCAGTAACCGATCAGTCCCTCATAAGGCATCTCTACTGAAAGTACATTTAGACATGACACAGAAAATGATAAATTGCAATTCTTAGTCATTTTATGAACTGCTCAAGAAGTTAAAGGAGCCCACTGGATAATTCCTACAGGACCACACAGCATGTTTATAGCTACAGTACAGGGTACACAAATTGATTGTTAAGCAAACATTCCTGCACATCCAGTGTACTTCAGTCTTACATATTATGTTACTGTATGTCTAATAGATGAATGCATTCATTAGCACTGTGCCTTGGAAACACTTTACAAAGCAAGGCACACCTACAAAAAAACTTTAAATGACATGAAGTTGCTCAGCTGTCAGTATTTTTATGAACCATTGAAAAACGGGCGCCTTGCCAGTGAAATAAGCTTTTATGAATGCAATTACTGTATATTTGCAATAGAGTCGAAATTAGGGATTCACTCTAGTCTGCAACAAACATGTAGTTATGTATATGTATCATATTGTGTTGATGTCATGATTTAATATGTTTATCATTTAAATGTGCAATAACATTCAAGTTGACAGCTTTGGAATCAAACCTCTTCACTCACGTGCAGTTAGACAGCCCCAGTTAAAGATAAAAAAAAAGAATAAAGGGAATTATCTCATTGAAATAAAAACTGTGAACAATCTTATGATCAGACCTCGCTGGGTTAAGAGGAATGAAGGACGGCAGTGGTCCTGAGAGTCCTGCTGGATTTTAGTTTGCCAGATAAATCCATAGAATTCCAGCCAAATCAATCATCAATACGTGCATGAATATCATTATCAAGAAAGGAAATTTCTGAAGTTTTCAAATTTAGGCTATCATGAAAATAAAAGTCATGCCTTTCCCAGCAACACACTGAATTAGATTTAAATGCTTAAGAGGGCATGTGGAAAGTCAGTTGTACAAATGCAGTAATCAGTGCTCTGAGCAGGCTTTTTTACTCCACTACTGGGACTGAACTGGGACCCAGTGAGGAATCTATGCAGGGGAAAGTATTGATTTTTACTGTACATTAGCAACACTGAGTTTTCTAAACTTCTATAACCTGATAACCATGATATTTGTCTTTTTTGTCATTATTTCACATATCCAGACACACCTTCTCTCCCTGACCCTCTTTCACATGTGCAACATGCACACACACAGTTGTCCACATAAGATTAAACAAAATATTTGTAAAATAAGTTCAATGGACAGTTGCTATGTGATTGGAACATAGGAGATGTTTGGTTTCTATTGCAAGTCATGGTTTACAGTTTTTTAAAGTCAATCTCTATGGCTCTATATCCATAAATGTAGCGGGGGCACATACTCGATGTGACATTGTGTGTGTGTGTGTGTGTGTGTGTGTGTGTGTGTGTGTGTGTGTGTGTGTGTGTGTGACAGTGTGAGACAGCAAGAGGGATAAGAGAGAGATAGCAAGCGAGAGAGGGAGAAGAAGAGAAAGATTAATGGACTACTGGATGCTGAGTTTATTTGAAGACAGAGGCGACATCCCAATGAGCTTTGAGTCTGACATGGGACTAACAACACCCTCAATGAGGTTCTTGTTGCAGTCGCCCATGTTGCCTTCAGAGGACCGTTTGGGATAGGTGACGCTGCCCGTCAGGTCCATCAGGTCTTCAAGAGCTCGGGTGTTACTCATGCTGCTGTGCTGGATTTCGTTGACTGGCGAGAAGTCTGGGATTGAAATCAGTTCCTCCTTTGAAGCCGGGCTGAAATATAATAATAAAAAAAGCAGTTAGGTATCATTGGTGTTCTTGAAGACCATGCATGTAATAATGTTGTCCAGCACTGCTATAATAATACCAGGTTACCAGATGACTCACCTGACCTCCATGGACTGCACCTCGTCGCAAGAGCCTGTGCCTTTCACATTTAGTGGCTCCAGCTTGATTACTGGAGGTGATAGGTGTCCCACGGGCATGGGTGTCACAGGGGGTCTAACAACCACCATCTGGGACCCTCCTTTAGCTTTCCCCTCAGCTGCTGACACATGCAGGCTTTGTTGTTCGCGGCACTCGTTCAAGGCACTTCCTTCCCCCTTCACTGCTCCATTCATCATACCACCCTCCCTTTGGTTGGCTTTGGCATCTGCTGTCGGCTTTGTCAGCCCTTTATTCATTTGGTCTTTAACATTTGTTCTGTGCTGCTTGTTTACATTCACATCCGCCTCGCTTCTCTGCTGCTGGAGAGCACAGGCTTTCCCCTCTCTGTTAGGTTGGCTGTCGCGCTCTTCGCTGGTTTGCTTGGTGTCAGGTCTCTTGTCAGGAACACTGTGTGTTGGTGTCACTTGATGAGTGTTGTTTTTTATGTGCAAACTCTTCTGACTGTCCATCTGTGCCTCTGCTGCTTCTTTCTTCACCAGGGCACACTCCTTCTTGTTGACCTGGACTGTGACCTGCTCTTTAACCTGAAACTCAACCTTTTTGATTGCTTGCTCGTTCGCCTGAGCATTAATTTGAACAGTCTTTACTTCACCTGTGGAGAATAAAAAACATCACAGTGGGCTTCACTTTATTTGGACTATCCAGTTCACATCAACTGAATTTTATTTGAGTTGACTTGAGTCATCCTGTAACGGTGGATGTCACGTATTACTAGTATTATTGGACAAACTGATGACTAAATATTGCTTCAACTCAACTGTAAAACCCAAATGAGCTGAGAACAGTGAACAGTCCAAACCAAGTGCTAGCTCACACTGTGTAGAGCAGCTCCTGAATAAATCTTCCAAGGGCATTTTGAAGAGCAGCTAATTTTACAGTCAGCTCCCATGGCACAGCTCTACAGTAAAAGGTGCCCAATCAGCACCAAGAATAAAGTCCTTGGCTGCTGCTCCATTTTTCAGAAAATATCGCACACCTCCAACCCAAACAGAATGTGAATGTATCGCCCAAAGCACAAGCAAAAGAAAAAACAATAACCTATGTTCTTTTCATTTCGACTTAAGCTGGTATAGACAAGGGTCATAGCTGTTCACTCTTCTGAATAGCCAAAGCCAAAGCAATGTAATTACTACATAGCAAGACATGACCAATAATGTTGGAAAAATCTGTCCCTCTGAGGTTTCACATAAGCCAACTTAAATGACTGCTGCGCATGCTCAAAATAAGATCATGAATGAATCACATCATACACCACGCATGCCCTGTTTGCATTTTTACAGCTGCATGGCATACAGAGGGAGAGGGGCACAGCAGGGACGACAAGCAAACGTAAGTATTTGCGGGGCGACTAATCAACACACTAACCTGGTGTTGAGACGGGCTTCGTCTCCACCTGGTCCTCCTTCTGATTCAATGCAGAAGAGAGACGATCAAGTCAATGTTTGTGGTAATCAGGACACAAAACCAAAGTATCACCAACAACAGAGTTTAATAAAAATAACAACAAGAAAGTTGGAGTTTTAACAAATTAAAGTTGGAAAAACAAATCCTGATCACGTATTCGGCAGGCAAAGGCAGCAGGACTACTGTATGAGAACAGAAGGTCTCTTACAGTACCTTCAAGTCAGCTTCCCCCTTCCTAGTTCTCTTCATGATCTCTTCAATTCTCTGCAAAAACACATCAACATTTAATCAGTTGTGCAAACTTTCAAGTGCTTTATTCAATCAATCAGCATGCTATGATTGCTTGGACTGTCCTTTCAGTTTAATTATAACCTTTTTTCTTAGCTGCCTCTCCTCCTCTTCTTGTTGCGCCTGCAGTTCTCTATCTTGCCGCTGACGTTCTGAGTCCTCCTGAGCCTGGACTTTGGCTTTTTCTCTCTGTTAACATCAAGAGGAAATCTATTTGTAACCAGAAACTGTAAGACAGATTATTTTTACAATATGCCAAAGGTTCACAAGAACTCAAAAATCTAAATCACTACTGATCTCTTGCCTCTTTGTCAATCTGGGCCTGTAGTTCCTTCTCCTGCTCCTCCTTTTTTTGATTTTCTTCTTCTTGTTTCAGACTGTGAGGATCTTCTTCATTTTTCACCTTTTCCTTCACTTGTTGAGCCATTGCCTCCTGCTGTCGCTGCTCCTGTGGGAGTTGCTTCCTCAGCTGCTCTTCCCTTAGTCTGATCAGCAAGTGCATACACTTATTAAACCCAGACTCTTTAATGCTGTCTTAAATTCCCAGTTTAATCAGTGGACTCACCTTTCTTCTTCCTCCTGTTCCCGTTTTTTCTCGTGCAGTTCTTTCTGAGCTCGAGCCTGACGCCTACGTTCTGCCAGCAACCTAGTAGCCTCCTCTGCATTTGTTGTGCCAGCCGCCAGCTTCCCTGATTCTGTCAAACACACATAAAGACTGGTGTAAGATCACCCAAGTTACTACAACTTGACTTTCTGTAGGGTTACAAACACTTTATATGAAGTTTACCTTTTTTCTTGTCTCCGTCCTCAGTGTTGCTCTGTGTCTTCCTCTCTGAGCATTCCACTTTGGGAGACATGTGGGCCTTTCTGTCAGGGGACTGATTTTTTTCAGATGTGTCGCCTTTGAGACGCCTATCAAAAGCTTCACCTTTAGATGATCTGGATTTAGTGCTTTCAGTATTAACCACATTCTTCTCATCTTGTGAAGATGGATTCGTGCTGTTGATGTCGGTATTCTTCATCCCTGCGGTCTCATCTTTGGATTGTTCACTGTGTTTTTCCACCTTCTTGTCTTCTGCTTTCCTGTCATCACTTGACAGGTTTGGACGATGTCTTGTAGGAGAGTAATGGTTGTTAGGAGATTGGGCGCGTATCTTAGATGCCAACCTGTACACAGATAGAGATGTTTGGTGTTCCATGACAGGAAAGGAAATTTAAAAATGAACTTTAAGTCAGAGCAAAATCCCACCTGACAGCCACGTTTCACCTTTCAGTTCAACACCAAACAAATAATCTTACTTGGAGGTAGTAGGGGAAGCCCACTGCTTGGTGATACTAGCAGGGGATTCAGATCTTCTTGCAGGGGATCCACAACCGGGGGATGCAGTTCTTCTGTCCCTGCGCAGCCGCTCTTTCTGTAAGCAATGTCAGAGTATTTTATCCATTAATGTTGGATTCATACAGATGTTATCTAAGTATGTCAAGGTACAGCATGTGAGCATGTGTGAGGTCTGACCTTGGGGGTATTGGGAGTGGAATGAGAGCCTCCCTGAAGTCCAGCTCTGTTGTGATCTGCAGGGTTCAGCGAGCTGCAGAAAGGTGATCTGTGAGGGCTGCAGGGCGCTGCATGATGACAAACACGATGCTTATCAAATCAAATGATGGCAAATAACAAGTGACAGAGGGATATTTATACAGTAGCTGGGGGGTAAGGGAGGGCTTCACTGGACAGTGTGTGCTGCACCCAACTGAAGCTTACAGACTCATCATTTGCAGCCAAAGTCAGTTGTCAGAGATGATCCTGCAAAACAAATTAATATAATAATATGCTGCTTTTTAAGAACAACCTAAAATTTCAGGAAGAAATGTATTAGGGATGTACTGTAGGCATCCATGTTTCACTGTGTGATATGTTTCTTTTCAGTGGTTGAAGTCATGGTAATCAGCTTTTGGTTTGGGTAGAAAACTTGCAGCTCAAATCTAGAAAATATTCTCCACATCAGATGTTATACATCATTGACAATTTTGCATTTAGGTTTTACAGCAAAAGGTAAAAGTGCATGATGAACTTTTTCCAGTCAACTCCCCGTCAGCTCTTCTGTATATTGGATTTTCTGAAATTGACAAACAAACGTGGAGGGACACATTCTTGTTTTGATTCTGCCAAAAAGAGGCCACTGATTTCCCAATATTAGATTAGGCCTGACTGAGGGATATTGACCACATCCTTGTTTTTCAACTGCTAGTATGAATCATTCAGGGTCAGGGACATAATAGGGGGGCGTTAATGTCCCGAGTCTGTATGCTACTATGCAGCACACACACATGCCAGCATAGTGGCTGTGAACATTAACCCTTGAACCTGATTCCGAACATCTCCCCCCATTGCCGCAACCAGAACAACGACAGCAAATGAAAACACACACACACACGTTGTGCAAACTCACAATCACAAAAGCAAAGGCATTAATGTGGAATGCATCGTACAACACTAGAAATAGTCTTCTCTTGTAACGTCTCCCCCATCTGTCACCCTCTGTAAAGAGTAATCTCTAAAGAGTGCAGCCCTCTCAGTGGGATGCCTATACTGTATCTGTGGTTATTTTAGTGCACATATTTCTATTCTAGGTCATGTGCGATTAATCTCCAAAACCGTCTGCTCCAGGGAGCGGGAGTCAGCGCCACTTGGCTGCTTTCATTTTGAAACGCCTATCCCAGGTTATCAAAACAAAAATGAGACAAACACATATATACACTGTGAAAATACAATACCACTGCAGTGTTTGAGATCATCAAGTCAATGTGATCCACTGTTCTTCGGCGTGTTTGTAATTACTGAGAGGTTACTAATCTGCGGGAAACTAATCCAGAGGTTGACTTCTAGGGAAATTAGGAGAGAGTTATTCATACCGCAAGTGTTACTAAAACACACGTCACATAGGAATACTGAGATGAAGGTGATGAATTAAAGGAAAAAAATATGTTTCCGCCGACAAGACTCAGTCTCTGAAATAGCTGATACCAGTGCATTTCCCTGTTGTCCTTTTTTCCTGTGTGGTGATCCACTTACAGTCAGCAGAGTTCGTCTCTACAAGAGATGAAAGAACGAAAGTCCCTCCCGGACATTAGGCAGACGGAAATGTGTCCAACCTCTGCCTGGAAATTAGGTTAGATCATAATAAGAACCAGTATTTTGGGGAAATGGATTGGATACGTGTTGGTGAAAGCCCCTGTACTGATAACATCTGCCTGTTAATTTGCATCCCTGATGCCTGTCTCACAGTCCTCCACACAGTCTTTTGCGATGATAACTCAAAAATAAAAGCCACTGCAGCAGACCACAAACACAGCAAACGTACCAAAGGCTGGAGTACATACAGACCACTTTGCAGACATACATTATATCTCATTCGTTCAAACAACACAACTGCTTTACATACATGCATCACAGGAGGAAGACATTTGCCTTTTGGTTTCAGCCCACCCAAAGGCAAACAAACACAGACATGGTAACTGTTGGATGAACAGGAGGCCAGATACATTTGGGAGGGCAACGGGGGCTTAACTTTACCAGATTCGCTGACAGCAGGAAGGGGGGAGGCAATGCCATGGGAAAAGGCGGAGGCAGCAGAGAAAGGGAGTGGGGCATTCTCACTGTCACCTATAGGCAGCGGGCGGAGCAGAGCAGAGCAGAGGTGAGCAGACAGAGCGTTATGAACAGTTTATCTGAGCAATTCCTTATCCAGCTGTAGATACCTGGATGGGAGTTAACATACCAGCATGGATGTCGTGAAGTAACGTAACTTAAACAGTCATTGTTTTGTTTTGATTTAAAGCCATTATGTGTGGGTGTTGAAAACTTCCAATTGTGTGATTCCCCAGTGGTGGTATCATAAAAGCCAGTGTGGCAGGCAGATGATTTCATTGTTATTTTTACATTTTCATTACAGTTTGCATACCCTGGCAGAAATTTTGGCATTGATTTTCAAAATATGACTAATCACATTTGATTTAAGGATAGTGATCATGTGAACACATTTCTTTTAACATAGTTGTTTGGCTCCTTTTCAAATAATAATGATAACAGAAATCAATCAAATCGCCCTGATCTAAAGTTTACCTTGAATGTTTGGCCTTGTTACAGACACAAAGTGACACACACAGGTGAAAATGGCAATTAAAGGTTAATTTCCCACACCTATGGCTTTTTAAATTGCAGTAAGTGTCTGTGAGTGTCAGTGAGTTTGTTAGCTCTCACATGGATGCATTGAGCAAGCTAGATACTGAGCCATGGGGAGCAGAAAATAACTGTCAAAAGACCTGCATAACAAGGTATTGGAACTTTATAAAGATGGAAGAGGATATAAATAGATATCCAAAGCCTTGCAAATGCCAGTCAGTACTGTTCAATCACTTATTAAGAAGGGGAAAATTCCAGGATCTCTCCATACCAAGCCAAGGTCAGGTAGACCAAGAAAGATTTAAGCCAAAACTGCGAGAAGAATTGTTCAGGATACAAAGAAAATCCACAGGGTGACCTCGGGAGAAATACAGGCTGCTCTGGAAAAAGATGGAGTGGTTGTTGCAAGGAGCACAATACGACAATACTTTAACAAAAATGAGCTGCATGGACGAGTTGCCATAAAGAAGCCTGTACTGTGCCAATGCCACAAAAAAGTGCGGTTACAAGGCCTATAGTGAATAGAATAGCATCCCCACTGTGAAGTATAGTGGTGGCTCACTTATATTTTGGGGGTGTGTGAGCACTAAAGACACGGGAAGTCTTGTGAAAATTGATGGAAAGATGAATGCAGCTTGTTATCAGAAAATACTGGCAGACAATTTGCATTCTTCTGCACTGAAGTTGCGTTCTTGGATTTTCCAGCATTATAATGACCCTAAGCACAAGGCCAAGTTGACCCTCCAGTAGTTACTGCAGAAAAAGGTGAATGTTCTGGAGTGGCCATCACAGTCTCCTGACCTTAATATCATCGAGCCACTCTGGGGAGATCTCAAATGTGCGGTTCATGCAAGACAACCAAAGACTCTGCATGACCTGGAGGCATTCTGCCAAGATGAGTGGGCAGCTATACCACCTGCAAGAATTCGGGGCCTCATTGACAACAATTACAAAAGACTCCACGCTGTCATTGATGCTAAAGGTGGCAATACACAGGATTAAGAACTAAGGGTATGCAGGCTTTTGAACAGGGGTCGGTTCATTTTTATTTTTTTTTTATAGCCGTGTGTTTTATATAAATATGTTTTGTTTTATGAATGTGCCATTCTGTTAGGACCTACAGTTCAATTTGAATCCCAAAAGAAGTAAAATACATGTTCTGCCTGCTCACTCATGTTTTATTTACAAATGGTATATTTATATTAAAAATGATCCAAGGGTATGCAAACTTCTGAGCATAACTGTATTTCAATCATCCACCAAAGTTTTAAAAAAGATGTATTTCCGTGGTACAAAGACACCAGTGCACATAAGTAACTCCATCCTGTCTCTGTGGGAAACCAGGAACACATTTCTGCTCATGAGTACTTCAGTAGCCAGGCTGTCTGCAATGATCAGGCCAAGAGAAAGGCTCTCTTTAACACACACTCACTCACATACACAAATCTACACATACACACCCATACTGTGTCATGGTGTCTCACAGAAATACAGCAAAATGCAATCCTTCTGAACAAAAGCACAACTTACAAATCCTGCTGCTTTTCAGTTTCAGATCACTCACATTTGATCATTCTGCCATCCATGCTATCCAGAGCAATCTCTGTTCACATCTCACAAAACTATGAGCTCTGTTCTTACCTGCAGGGCAGCCTCTGCTCCAGCGTTTGGTCCTCTGCTCCAATTGAAGGCTTCGCTCCAGAGAGCGTTTCATCAGGGCCTCCAGCCGCTCCTGAACGTAACAAAGCAGAGCTGTCATTTTTATACCTGAAAGTGTTTATGTATCTTGCACACACACAACCACACATTAGCTAGATAGGCAAGAATGCATTTATAGATTAGACAGATCCTGATGTTGATTTTTTAGTTTGTTTGTTAAATCAGCTGACCCTCTCCTCCTCAAGCTGCTGCCTCCTCTTCTCCTCCACTGCAGCTCTGCGGAACTCCTCTTTCTGCCTCTGCTCCTCCAGCCGCCTCCAGCGTTCCTCCACTGTGCGTTCATACTGCAGCCGAGCTCTGCGCTCCTTCTCCCTGATCAGCTGATCCCTGGCCGCTGAAAGAGACGAAAAAAAGATTTGAGCCAGTGGACCAGTGTTGTTGCCAGGGGCTTTTTGCTGTTCAGAAGGTTGTGTAGAGTCCAGGATACAATTCAAGAAATCAACAACTTGATGAATACAATCTATACGTAATGATAGTGCACTTTTTTTGTTTTTGATTTGGCATCATGTGACATTTTTTTGTATTCATTCTTCTAACTGAACACTCATAATTTGTCATTATAACGTGAGCTTGTATATGTTCCAATGAATATGTGAAGTGTCCGTCAATCCACACGCAAGACTTATCATGAAGATAGAAATCCTTGTCATCATGAGGCAACCGCAGGAGCTACAGGATTAACTGTGAATGGGAGACCTACTTTACTGGACTATTCGATGTTACTGTCACGTTCTCTGAAGTGACAAAGCTCATCACATCAAAAGCCCAGTGAACTCAAAGTAAATCTTCTATCGGCTAGCAAAGCCATTCCATAACCAATTAAACTGTAGAGAGAAAAAACTTTGCAGGGAAACTGCACTGAAGGACAATCACAGCACGAACAAGAACTTTATTTGAACTTGTACCAAAACAAACAGAACATCACCCACCCAGACTTCTCTCCCTCTCCTCACGTCTCTCTTTGGCCAATCGCATCCTGTCATCCGTCTTCATATAACCCTCCACGACTGAAAGATGAATGAAGATGTATGAAAAAAGAGTATTTTACAATGCAGCCAAGCTAAAGCAGAGAGAAAAGGCAGTTTAATAGAAGCAAACCTTGAGACTTACTTTGTTTACCTGCATGGTTGTTATTGATGTTTGCTGTTAAGTGTGAAGGAGACGCATGTCCGTTTATGTGTGGCTTCTTCTCCATGTTAGACGGAGCTGGGATCATCATAACAAAGGAGAGAGAGAGCAAGAGACCACACTCAGCTTTATCTAAAGAGGAATGACATCAGTGGCACAGTACTGACCTGCAGCGCTGCTTTAATACCAGCAGAGGGACACATTTCAGCTCTGCGTGTGGCTGCTCTGTGTTAAACGCATTGTGTTGCAAAATGTCAAGTAGCCCCATGCCAAGAGCAAACTGCAGCAATATGCAGGAGAGGGGAAGAAGCTGTCCTTGGTGTGATAGTCACTCCACACATGCTGAATGCCTCTTTTTTGGTTACTGTTGCTGAGCTACATTTTTCCATGTATAGGCCTACAGAGTCATACTATGCATTACATAATGTTTCTCCAGTAATCATTCAATAACCCACATCATTGTGTAGTAAGTGATTTTCATCCTGATTAAATCACTTGGAAGTTCAGTGTGAATTGCCTGGCAGAAGCCAGAGAGGATTACTCACTTGTTTTTCCAGTTCGGGCCGGAGAGCTATGACCGTTTGTCGGAGATCTCTTGTCAGGAAGTAGAGTGATGGACGGTGGTGCCATCTTTTCACCTGATGCACAAAAAAAACCCCATATTGATCTTAACAGTAAGATCAGTCAAAAAACTATAGTCACAGAGTGTGTGTGTGTGTGTCTAAAAGGGGAGAGATGTGTGGAGTCATGACACCTTAAAATAAATATTCTAAATGTGACACCTCTTTTAGTTTATATATGAAAATGAAGCCAATATAGTTAAGCCAATATAGTTAGTATTATAGTTGAAATAAACAAATAAAATAAATATATTAGATAAAAATATTTTGAATTAGTACCCAAATAACTAAGATAAGATAAGATAATAAGACTTTAATGATCCCACACCAGGGAAATTCACTTGTTACAGCAGCTCCAGATCCAACATAACACAACAGATAAGAAAACACACAAGATACCAGAACATATAATAGAAATATGAAAAATAAGAATTATCTGTACACTATGTACACATTTTATATACACAATTATACATCTAAATCTTGACACAGTGAGTGGCCTCTTAAAACAAAATTTAATTAACAAATTCACTCAATCAATATGTGCGTTGCAGGCTAAAATGCCAACACAGTCAGTTTCTTCACTTGATCAAGGGAATTACTCTCTTTTCAGTCAGTCAGGGCTTTTATATTGTGCTGAAACCTGGCAGACAACACAGAGTCCCTTTTAAATGTGGTTTGGCTTATGTCAGACAGGAAGCTGCCTGCATTTCACTTGATATAAACTTCTATGCTCATATTACTGTAGACACGCATCATGCTTAACTTGTAACATTCAGAATTTTCCATTTTCCATGACAACATGATATTGATTTCTTCAGTGGCTACAGGGGTAGCCTACCTCTCATGAACTGGGGTGTATTTATCGTGGCTTTTATGGCTTTGATGAGAATACCGCTCATACTCTTATTTCTTTGTCATACAGGCATTAATCTTGAGCATAAAACATGCCGTTGTAAAAATAGAGGCTGCAAAAATAAACTAATTTCTACAAGATATCAAGATGTTGCCAAAGAGCTGAAACGGAAATGAAGACATTTTTGGGGGGATTCAGCATTGTCAGACTTGTAAAAGTACCAACATAACAAATGTCTCCAGTAGTCACCTTGCATTAAATTTTCAGCAGACTCTCAATATGAACTAGTATGACAGGATCAAGTTATTTCTCCTTTTTGGAATAGCACAGTCACTCATACAATTGTTTCAAATGTAATTATTGACCTGCAGGGATGATTCTTTCAGGGCATGGAGTATGTGAAAAGTCCATTTTCGTCCTGCTCTAGACAGTGTCCCAGCCTTCAACCCACAGAGGAATCACAAAATGGTTTTTGATGGTTATAGACATTACACAGAGTAATCCACGGGTCTGTCCTCCTGTGTAGGCAACAACCCAGCCTTCCTCTCTCCACCCATTTGAACCTTTTTACCAGATTGAGTCGCGTCATCACCACAAAAAAGGGTACACGGGCCTGACTTTGCTTAAAAGTGACATGACACTTATCATATCTGTAATGCCGATATCCCCTTTTGAGAAAATGTAAATAACACAATGAAAGAAGACACAAGACACAAAGAAGGACCCCAGTTCTGTTTGGCTCACTTTCACGCGTGCTAAAAAAAAACCCACCAGGCCTAATAATTTGAGTTTATTTCCAAGGAAAATAAAAGTGTCCATCTATATTTATTACTCTGCACCTTATATACCTGCACCTAGTGGAAACAGCCAGCACATCGTGGATAGCGAATAAACAAAAACAGTGAAGCCGGATCATCGCTGCACAGACCCGCATCACGCACATAGCAATGAAAATGCCAGTTGCGTCATCCATGAGTCTGCTTTAAACCGTGGTGCAAACACAACAGAGCGCGATAGCATGATAATACCCGCTAAACAACCTCTTGCATCAAGCTTTGCTTACCTGTTATTGCACTGGATGATGTGGCTGTTTTCGCCATGGTGGCTGTCACAGGCAGAAATCACCCTAATGAATGTCACCAGAAACGCTCTGCAGTTATGCCAATGCAGCACAGGTATCCCTCCACAGCAGCAGCAATGAGCGCAGCCACAGCGGCCAAAAACAACCGGACACCATTCAATCAGATGGCCTGAAGGTCATTATAAAGTCTGGAGATGATGGGCAGGATAGGAGGGTCCTGTGTGGACGGAGGAGAGAGATGCTTGGACTGGAGCGGAGATGATTATGATGCGCACACAATGGAGTTTACTATCGACCGACCACACTGTGCGTCGCAGCATAAAGCCCGCCCTGATGTAGACTAGATGGAGGAAGTTTCCTCTCTGCACACAGCTCAACCAGGTCCAAACCAAATTTAGCTGGATTTAATGCTGCTACTAATGCTAATGCTACAACTTACAGGCCTACCATGTTCACAGTCAAATGTGGGATATTAGTATGGGACACCGGGGATGGCTGTCACATTTTTCTGTCTGTTTCTTGGAGCACTTTTAAACCAGTGATACACACAAGTCACGTGTGTGCTATTAAATAGTGTAACTCTTATTTTCACAAAACAGACAGACAGACACAAAGAGTACAATTTTACAATGTAGGCCTGTCCCGTAGTCCGGCTTAGCTGTAACATACCCAGGGCTGAAATGTAATATTGTGTAATATGAAATATGAGAAAAACAGAATATGGAAAGCTTTTTAACATAATTTGTGTGTGTGGGGGGAGGGGTGGGGGGGTCCAAGTGTCTTATATACTATCAGTTACAGTGACATAATAGTGAACAAAATACTATCAGTTCCACAAAATGTGTAAATGTGCACCAACTGAATATTAGTGTGTGTGTGTTGGTGCTTGTTTGTCTGGCACCATCACAGCGGTGACAGACATATGGCAGTCCTGGAGAGCAGGCCTCATGGGCTCACAGAGAAGAATACAGGTCTTACACTAACATTTAAACATATTAATAAAACAATTAAACATTCCATGTCAGAAACATATTGAAAAAAAGAAAACATAAATACAACTAAATAATTTATAGGGGTGGGTTTTAACGATGTCTGTGAAGGTTCTCAGTCATCCAGGTCATAGTTATCCAAAGAAGGTTAAAGTCAAGGGCAACTGGACTTGGATGAAGATAGTAGAAGCCGTTTTGTCCCTCATCCAAGAGACTTCTTCAGTTGTGAAATGACCAGTAGGGAAACTCAGCTACTAAACCTCTGTGGGGTTGTTTGCCAAGATCATCGATACCGCTGGTTCATTAGTGCTCCTGGCTGTTGTAACGACAGTTGTTATGGTCATTAGAGCCACCGTGGCCAAGCCTGAACGACCATCATGGGTGTCTCCACCTGAGACCAAGAGGTAACGTTTGTTAAGTTTCCTGGGAAGTGGTGAAAGGACAGCATTGTAGGATAAGTGGTGTCGTAAACCATCCATCCTCTCTGTCTAAATTGTGCACCTGATGGTCCTCAAACGAGTGTCCTTTATCCTTCAGATGTAAGTAAACTGCTGAGTCTTGACCTGAGGAGTTAGTCCTTCAGTGTTGAGCCATGTGTTTATGTAGTGGTTTTTTGGTTTCCCCATGTACAGTTCTGTGCATTCCTCACTGCACTGGACCTGATTTAAGTTTGATGAGTTTAACTACAAAGCAGGCAATGCAATAACAAAAATACATGTGCAGTGTGAATAAGGTGACTTGTAACTTGTTCCTGATTGGAGGAATTAGATGTGTTACAACTGACCCTTGTTACAACCATCCCCTGTCTCCCCTACTCTGTAGCACTAGACATATCCGAGTATCTGATTTGAGACTTTGAGACTATAGAATTGATAGAAATCTTGATTAGTCAACCTCACTTTTAAATCTCTTGTCAAAAGAATTTTTAATTTTTTTGAAAAGATCAATCTGAGAGGGCCATAGATTAAACAAATAAAGACTCACAGGTTGAACTATATGGGTTAGTGATGCACACAGATCAACATTTGTGACCCAATCCATAACATTTAGATAGGGTCGCATTTTCACCATTATGACGATTTGGTACAAAGTAGAAGATCTGACCATGGTCAGTAAAAGCCTTTTCAGTGGTCATATCTCTGGATCAAGGTCCTGGGGCAAAATGAGCTGTGGGCCCCTATATCCTCCCCGTTCTTTCTACTCTGCATTGAGTGAATTAATATCATCTCCAAGTGCCCATCAACTAAAGTGCATACTGCATACTGCAGACTGCACACGGACAGCTGTATTACATTTTGCCTGCAGTCCCAAAAACAACTTCTACTCCTGTGTTGAAATACTTCCAATCCCAGGATTTTTGTGGTTCAGATAATACATGTAGGCTATTTAAGAATATGCACCAATTAGTGTTGTAGTCAAGACCGCCCAAACCGAGACCAAGTCAAGACCAAGACCAGAGTTTATCGAGACAGAGACAAGACCAAGACTTTTAGGGGCTGAGAGTAGTCGAGACCAAGACCGAGGGAGGGCGAGACCGAGTCAAGACTAAGACCAGTTCCCTGCATTGCATGGCACGCAATAAAATGTGGAATGAGATCATAGGTAGTTCTCAAATTGATCTGAAAGATCCACATTCCTATTAAAACACCCACATACAAACACTAAGGGCTAAAATCAACGTAAGCATCGCAGGGAGGGGTGACCGTCATTAATTAGCGTTATTGGTTGCATTTGAAGCAATATGTTTTACTTCCAATCAAAGTTAGGATGTTAACAAATCAGACAATGCAATAGCAATTTATTGATATTCCCAAAGTTATGGTCTTGACTGGTCTTGAAATAAAATCCCAAGTCCTCAATATCCGAGACCGAGACAAGACCGAGTACAAGACCATCAAAAAGGACCGGTCTTGAGTACTACAACACTACCACCAATTGAATCCGAGGTAAATCCTTAAAACTAAATTTGACAAGTGTCAATATTAAGTGTCGTGGAAATTATATTCCTGGTGAGGGGCTGAGCAAATTATTGAGTTACAACAAACTGTTGTCTTTGAAGAATTTATTTAACAATAGAGAATAAACAGAGAAGTACTACAACACAAATCAGCTGGACCAGAGGTTCTGTCTCCTAAGACAGTCACTAACGTCTGGCCCCAAGCAAAGGGATGCATCATCATTTACACAGTCTAGGTTTCTATGTTTTGGGGAACAGAGATCCTCTCTTGGCCTTGAATGAACATTCCAGGAGAGGAGAGGAACAACAAGAGAGGAAAACAATAAAACAATCTCACAGCTCTGACCTAAACCCTAGTAAATGTGGACAGACTAACATAAGAAGTATAGGAGAGGAAAGGTTAAGGATAAAACACAATAAATAATAATAATAATAATAGTAAAAGAACATACATAAAAGATTAAATGTAAGAGGACACAATTTTCTGCCATAACATTAAGCAAGCAGGTGTGTTCTCAAGGTCAGCTCAAAAAAGATTACATTGTGAAACATGTTTTCAAATTGTCACACATCTGTTCGGGATTCCAAAGACTCCAGCTGTAAAACATGGTAAATGTAAGGGATTTTCATATGCTCTATCTATTTGTGATTGGTGTTGACAGTAGTTTTTTTGTGTGCAGCACTATCACTGCTAAATCCAAGCTAAATCTATTAGGATTAACGTTATTGTGTATTCTCATTTTTTAACACTCTGTTCATAAGAGGTCTTACAGGGATAGATCCTGCTCTATCTGAACCCAAACAGAAGTAAAGTCACAATGTAGCACAACATGACATATTGTTTGGCAAATCAAAAAAGATATTTCTTAGTGAACTGCCCACATAACATAAGCAAATTACTTGAAGTTGTTTCATCTCTCCTGGAAGAGGCTTCTTCAATTCTAACTGACTGTCAGGGAGTCTCAGTTATTTAACAACAACAACAACAACAACAACAACAACAATAATAATAATAATAATAATAATAATAATAATAATAATAAATAATAATAATAATAAATAATAATAATAATACCTAAAAACCCACATTTTTACTTAATTCAAAATGGGATTCTTTCATGCATGTGTTGTCGCAGACAGACCAGAGGAGCAGTGGGGGCAGTAGCGTATTTGCTGCCGTTATTTAAGCCAGAGAAGAAGAAGAAGAAGAAGAGCAAGCGCAGCCGGAAGGACAGAGCCTGGCAGAAGGACGGAGCAGTGCCGTGTCGGGATTGTGGTGAGCTAGCTGAGGAAGATGCTGACCAATATCTCTAACGTGCTGAGAGCGGGCGCTCAGAGAAATGTAAGTACACACATTTCAAACTATGAGCGGTCTTCACCAAACACCGCATTTCAGTCTCTGAAACCTGCGGGGTTCACCCAAAACAAGACTGTCATCGCTGTGCTGACCTTGTAAGTTAAGGCCGAAAGATGGTAGCTTGTTGGGCTAACACAGCTAGTCTGCACATACATCTAAACTCTTGATGGTAGCTTCAGTGTTTTGGTAAGTAAAGACTCAGTCATGTACATTTTAAGTATATGTTTCAGAGTCGGGGCCTGTTTTCACAGCTGTTTATGACAGCTAGCATTAAGTTAGTAAGTTGCTTAAAGATTAGTTACTTAATTCTGCCAAGAGATGGAAAAATGGAAGCAGCTTGTCAAAAAATTTTATTTTCCTGCTTTAGTGAATGAGATACCACTCCATATATAGACTTTTACTTAGAAACACTAGTTATGTCAGCGTTATGTACCTTTTTATTACATCTTTTCCCAAGACGTTCGCTCTAATGTTAACTATCAGAACACTAGCTAGGAGGTCTTTGAGGATTTCCTGAGATCTACCAACAAACTGTGGAATGGTTAAATGCATTTGAATTATCTGTATTCAGATTTATCACAATAATGAATAGTGATATTGGTAGGCCGATATCTTATTTTGTTATAACTTGTACATCTTGTCCATTCTGCAGTTATTTATTTATTTATTTATTATATATATATATATGTATATGTGTGTGTGTGTGTGTGTGTTTAAGTCTGGCACTTATCAAACCAAATTCCTTGTACGTGTAAAAACTACATGGCAGTAAAGCTGTTTCTCATTCTGATGACAGCAAATTATCTCAATCTCAAAACCATTACATTGTCTAGCGTTAAATATATTGTTATACCCTAGAGAATAATGCAGTTCAATGACGTCATTTCTGACTGTACCCCGCTCTCCACGCTCCGAAGTCTACAGCACAACCCAAGTAATTTTTGTATTTCATTAATTAATAAATATTCCATCTAAAACAACATGTTACTGGCTAAGATAACCATTCATATT